GAGTGGGTGGGTGGGTGGGTGAGTGAGTGGGTGGGTGGGTGGGTGAGTGCGTGAGTGGGTGAGTGGGTGGGTGGGTGAGTGAGTGAGTGGGTGGGTGAGTGAGTGGGTGGGTGAGTGGGTGGGTGAGTGGGTGGGTGGGTGGGTGAGTGAGTGGGTGAGTGGGTGGGTGGGTGAGTGGGTGGGTGGGTGAGTGGGTGGGTGAGTGGGTGGGTGGTGGGTGAGTGGGTGGGTGGGTGGGTGAGTGGGTGGGTGAGTGGGTGGGTGGGTGGTGGGTGGGTGAGTGGGTGGGTGAGTGGGTGGGTGGGTGGGTGGGTGAGTGAGTGGGTGGGTGGGTGGGTGAGTGAGTGGGTGGGTGGGTGGGTGAGTGGGTGGGTGAGTGGGTGAGTGAGTGGGTGGGTGAGTGAGTGGGTGGGTGGGTGAGTGGGTGGGTGGGTGGGTGAGTGAGTGGGTGGGTGGGTGGGTGGGTGAGTGGGTGGGTGAGTGAGTGGGTGGGTGGGTGGGTGAGTGGGTGGGTGAGTGAGTAAGTGAGTGGGTGGGTGAGTGAGTAGGTGGGTGGGTGAGTGAGTGAGTGGGTGAGTGGGTGGGTGAGTGAGTGAGTGAGTGGGTAGGTGGGTGGGTGAGTGGGTGAGTGAGTGCGTGGGTGAGTGAGTGAGTGAGTGGATGAGTGAGTGAGTGGGTTGGTGAGTGGGTGGGTGGGTGAGTGAGTGGGTGGGTGAGTGAGTGGGTGGGTGGGTGAGTGAGTGGGTGAGTGAGTGAGTGAGTGGGTGAGTGAGTGAGTGGGTGAGTGGGTGAGTGAGTGGGTGGGTGAGTGGGTGGGTGAGTGAGTGGGTGGGTGAGTGGGTGAGTGAGTGAGTGAGTGGGTGGGTGAGTGGGTGGGTGCATGAGTGGGTGGGTGGGTGGGTGAGTGGGTGGGTGGGTGGGTGAGTGAGTGGGTGAGTCGGTGGGTGAGTGGGTGGGTGAGTGAGTGCGTGGGTGAGTGAGTGAGTGGGTGGGTGGGTGAGTGGGTGAGTGAGTGGGTGGGTGAGTGAGTGGGTGAGTGAGTGAGTGAGCGGGTGGGTGGGTGAGTGGGTGGGTGAGTGGGTGAGTGAGTGGGTGGGTGGGCGAGTGGGTGGATGAGTGGGTGGGTGAGCGGGTGAGTGAGTGGGTGGGTGGGCGAGTGGGTGGATGAGTGGGTGAGTGAGTGGGTGGGTGAGTGGGTGGGTGAGTGGGTGAGTGAGTGAGTGAGTGGGTGGGTGGGTGAGTGAGTGGGTGGGTGAGTGAGTGGGTGGGTGAGTGAGTGGGTGGGTCGGTGGGTGGGTGGGTGAGTGGGTGAGTGAGTGGGTGGGTGGGTGGGTGAGTGGGTGGGTGGGTGAGTGAGTGAGTGGGTGAGTGGGTGAGTGGGTGGGTGGGTGGGTGAGTGAGTGAGTGGGTGAGTGAGTGGGTGGGTGAGTGAGAGGGTGAGTGAGTGAGTGGGTGGGTGGGTGGGTGAGTGGGTGGGTGAGCGGGTGAGTGAGTGGGTGGGTGGGCGAGTGGGTGGATGAGTGGGTGAGTGAGTGGGTGGGTGAGTGGGTGAGTGAGTGAGTGAGTGGGTGGGTGGGTGGGTGAGTGAGTGGGTGGGTGAGTGAGTGGGTGGGTGAGTGAGTGGGTGGGTCGGTGGGTGGGTGGGTGAGTGGGTGAGTGAGTGGGTGGGTGGGTGGGTGAGTGAGTGAGTGGGTGAGTGGGTGAGTGGGTGGGTGGGTGGGTGAGTGAGTGAGTGGGTGGGTGGGTGGGTGAGTGAGTGAGTGGGTGGGTGGGTGGGTGAGTGGGTGAGTGAGTGAGTGAGTGGGTGAGTGAGTGGGTGGGTGGGTGGGTGAGTGGGTGAGTGAGTGGGTGAGTGAGTGAGTGGGTGGGTGGGTGGGTGAGTGGGTGAGTGAGTGAGTGAGTGGGTGAGTGAGTGGGTGGGTGGGTGGGTGAGTGGGTGGGTGGGTGAGTGAGTGAGTGGGTGAGTGGGTGAGTGGGTGGGTGGGTGGGTGAGTGAGTGAGTGAGTGGGTGAGTGAGTGAGTGGGTGGGTGGGTGGGTGAGTGAGTGTAGGGGCAAGTGCTGCTAGTAGTAAGTAGCACCACCTATGATGCACACACAGACAAAGCTGCCCCAGGTAGCCTATAGGAGGGCTGTAGGGGCAAGTGCTGCTAGTAGCACCACCTAAGATGCACACACAGACAAAGCTCCCCCAGGTAGCCTCTAGCAGGGCTGTAGGGGCAAGTGCTTTTGGTAGTTACGAGTTGACAGAGCCAGGTAGCTTCCACACAGGAGCAGCGCCATGGTGGCTAGGAGATGTTGACTACCTCGCCTCGTATACAGGAGGTCGTGGGTTCGATACCAGGACCCTGTGAGATGTTGACTACCTCGCCTGGTATACAGGAGGTCGTGGGTTCGATACCGGACCCTGTGAGATGCTGACTACCTCGCCTCGTATACAGGAGGTCGTGGGTTCGATACTGGACCCTGTGAGATGTTGACTACCTCGCCTGGTATACAGGA